CATGGTTTGAAGGCATCTTCCAGTCACAATGGTGATCCAGGCAATAACTGGTGTCACAGTAGGGTAAAGGGCAGGCAGAGAAGATCTGGGGAAACTGAGGGATCATGGCAGCAGACTGACATGTTTAATTAGCTTTTGGACACATGTTTATTACATGTGATTGGAGACTAACTTCTGGACCATTGTCTTAAACTTATTAAAAGCATATTTTATTTTTTTCTAGCCTGTTAATTGCATTTAACCAGTAAAATAATCAGTAATACAAGGCTCTTAAAGGAAATGAATTCTCTTTATTTGAATGAAATGATAAAAATGAAAACTCAAAATTGAAACTGTCTATCACATCTAATTACAGGATGTTTTTAATAGTCTATTCCTTCCCAGAGTGACTATGGCTGTCCATTAGATATAATTTTGGGTACCTCTCAGTCAAAAGTTTTTTTATCCTAGRCCCCTAATTCCTTATCCTTTTTCCTTAGCCAAGTTTTTAGGAGTTGAGGTGAAGCATTATCTGAACAAGCAAGGTATCTAGCACATACTTCATGTTTGCTGTGTACCAGGTACTTTTTAAAGCAGGTTAAGTAGTTAACTCTTTCAATYATTGCAATGGCTTTTTATGTCTTAGATATGTATTATCATTATTCCTCTTTGAAGACATGGAGACACAGGGAACTTGATCAAAGAGCTAGGTAGTCCAATTCTTGAGTAATTTTCTTAATTGCTAGATTATRCTATTCTCTTAATAGGCACAGCAGGATTTCAGTCCTCCACTGGGATCATCTGTTCTTTGTTATTGCTGTTGCTTATTTATTTGTTTTTGTCCCTCACCTCCTTCCACCAGAATCAAGCTGGTTGGTTCACTTCCCTGGTGGTTATATCAGAGGCAGAGCTGTATCTTGCATTGGCATTTATTTGATTCATTTCAATCAGGAGTAGAATTGAATTATTCTATTTCCAGAGAAGTTTGATGAATCATATCCTTTTMGGTCCAGGGTTGAAAAACTATGACCTATGGAACAAACTCTGCCACTGTCTGGTTTTGTAAATAAATTTTAATGGTAATCCAATTACACTTAATCATTTATATATTATCTATGATCGCTTTCATGCTACAGTGGCAAAAGTTCAACACTTGGGATAGGGAGAACTATCCCAACTGCAAAAATACTTACTTTTTGTTACAAAAAAAATATTACCAAACCTATTTCTGTTCCTGATTGTTTGARTAGATATAGGAAAAATATATATATTTGATTCAAGTTGACTTTTGACTAAACCAGTGAATTCTGTATTGCTTATTCATATTTGTCAGAGTAAGAATGTATTACAATGTCCAATGGGACAATTTCCCAAAGATTCAATACATACTTAGTTTTCACATCCATCAAGGTTGAATAAATCACAAATGGAACTTAAAGTACTATTCCAGTCAAGCCCTTTACTCTATGCAAGGTATTGGTTGAGGTGCTGAGGAGATTGGGTGGAAGAGAGAGCTCTTCCATAGTTCCAGATGAGAAAGTGTCCCCTATTTAGTGAAGAGATGTTAAACATAGAGAGTGATGAATCTTTCTACTTTGCCTCAGTTCTTAATTTATACTTTGATGATAAGACCTATCATCATTGACTTTCCTTGGAATTATGTGTATAGTATCTCTCCACTAAATGTTGACAAACTAGAGATGCAGACCATCTCTTATTCAACTTTGTATCTCACAGAATGTTATGCACTTCCAGGCACTAAAAATTTGTTGAACTTGACGTTTCTGTCATAAAAAGAGATGAAAAAATGAAAGGCAGTTTCTAAGCACCTATGAACAATGATGCATGAATTCATCTATGTATGCTTTCAAACCCACTCCCGCCTATGTGCATCAGATGTTAGCTCTATTGGGAGCTATTAAGAAGGGAGGGACAAAATCAGTCAAAGAATTATGAGGTACACWCTGTAAAATTGATTAAAACAGTAGAACAATCTTTTTCTTTTCTATAAGAAGATGTTTTGCACTACAATGTCAGAAAGTGCTGTGGGATTTCATTRGCCTTGCCATAACATCATTACAAAGCATAATGCGTATCTAAGGAAGATACTGTGCATTCTTTTGCTAATCACTTTATTGTGAAAGRCAGGTGTTATGACTCTTTGTTTTCTCCAGCAGTATCAGAAATCACTTTTTAAAATCCTCCCTTAAAAAGGAGGCCATTCTAATCTCACTTGTGTGTCAATTCCTCCCTGGAATAAATATCAAAGACAGGTCCTTCTTTTGCCTTCAACTTTTAAGTATACATAGTAGGTAATAAARAGATGAATTCTAAATCCTGCCCTCCCAGTGGAGTTGCTCTTGTAATTTGCCTCCTGGGACTTGGTCAGATGTCTGCTCCCAATTCTGAAAGATCACATACTTCCACAGGGCATGCTTATGTCTTTTCAAAGAAGCAGTATAGAATGGATCCAACTGCTTAGTAACATATCCCATGACGAAACCTCCTGATTGATACTGCTTGCCGAATAGAGCTCATTTTCTGAAAGTGCACCTAAAGAATTTTGTGTGGTCTCATCCCTTCTCCCATGACCTATTAGTAGCTCCTTTGACTGGGTTCCAGAATTCTGAATTGGTTCAGTGGCAGAATGAAAAAGCCTTCTTTTCATCTTGACTGCTGCTCTCAGAGCTGTCGCTCTCCCACAGAGGGTTCTTTTTCAAACCATCCTTTCTGAGGATTTTTACTGTAACTCCGTAAGGATTCAAGTTTTATCTTCCTTTTGTTCCTTTTCAACATCAATTAGTTGGTGAGACAAACTGAAACAAGATAAATGTTCAGTTTTGAACTAGGAATACAATTCAAAGCTGACATTGGCTTATCAGGCTRGTAATTCCTTTTTTTTTTCCTTAAATATTTGATGACATAAAATACAAATGTTCAATAAATGCTTGTGACATGAAATTGGGTTGAACTGAAATCCTGGGGGTGGGGGTGGGGGAAGGTAAAACAAACAGAAAAAAAATGAAAAAACAAAACAACCAAAACAAAAATCAAACCCCCAAATCTAAAGTGAAACATCTGTTTTAATTTCCTCACTACTTTTAATTGTTCCTGCACATAATATACTGATTTTAAAAGAAAGAAAATTGGTCCTTATGTCAAATGATGAGACACCTTTTAAACTACCGGTATCTAAATGAGTCACAAAAACCTCTGTGTTCATATGTTGTTTTATGAAGCTGACAAATTCCAAGAGAAGAGAAAGTGGCAACTCCAGGAAATGTTCTGCTAGGGCATTCCCCACAGCGCAGGATTAAATTGCTCCCTCACCAATGAAGGAAAAGTATGCATTACAGACAAAAATATTTTCTCCATTCACAGGCTAGGAAACTCCTTTGAGTAAACAGCTTTGTTGTATTCACTGCTGTAACTACAACAATTATTTTAGACATGTATAGAAATTGATGATTATTACAGTGACACAGTTATTACGGATAATTTCTAGTTAGATTGTTTTTCTGTCAATGGATAAGAGGCAAAAATAATACTCTCGTAGTAATATTGGCTTGAGCTTCATTGGATTTAAATTAAGGTACCAACTTGAACAGAGGGCAAATATGCTTAGCATGTGTTTCTGTGGCCTTCTGACAGAGACCATTGAGTGGGCAGCATGGACGTGATCTGGGAACATGGAGGGGCCCAGAGCAGAATTCCCAGAGGCTGGGTGCTGCTTCAACTATGACCTATTTTTACTTGGTAAAAACCAAACATATTTATCCCAAGGAAACTCCTCCCAATTCTAWCTAACTTTTAAAACTGAAAGGCAGGAAATCACTTTGCTTATGGCTTTAAATTATTGTGTTTTTTTTGTCTTTTGTTCCTTGTTTTGTTTTGCTGCTCCTGCAATGGACTATTACCTCTGAATTTCATGATTATCTACCAGCACTTAGATTTCATACAGAAAAACAWTTTTTCCTAGTTTCTTTTCTTCTTCTTCCTCTCTTTTCACATAAATAAATCGGACATTCTAAAGCCATCATTTAAGGGCAGGCGCTTCTCTTTCTGGGGAATGAATAATGCTGGCCTAGTTATGACAAGTCAGTTTCTTTCTAAAATATAATATAAATTCTCAGTTTTAATTCAATGTTCAAAACTTACAAATGTGCCCATTTTTTTTTTTCTGAAAGCCTTCTTTTAGGCATTTTATTCATAGTTCAATAATTAAAAAGGCCTAAATTTTGTTAAGAAAGCAGAATGATGAATCAACTTTGCAAAAGAGTTCAAAGTAGAGGAGCAAATTATGTGGGAAAGAATGGTTGTCTTGCAGTGGATGACCTATTAAAGTACGGGAGAAATTACACCTTCTCTATGGGGAATTGTTAAAACCAACCTGCATTCATTTCAAACGAGATAAAACAATCATCATATTTTGAATACAGCAGGTTAATAAGGCTTATGATGTTCACTCAGAGAAGAAAGACACTCATAACTTCTTGTTTTAGCAATCATTGTGAACGTACTGCATAATAATACACAGAACCCTGAATACAAATCTATATCAATAAATAAATACTGTTAATACTATTATTTATTTTCAAGTCATCTTAAACCAAGATAATAGATGTTGCTAAAAGGGTAATACGAATTTTCCCAATTGTCAAATGGTTCTGCCTATTTCCAAGTTACTAAGTATTGAATGCAATTTATATTTAGTGATTTATACCATAAAAATATGCTGTGAAACATTTGCAGCATTTATGTTTTACTGTTCTAGCCATATGCCATCAAATTCATATGCTTGCTCTATTCTTTCTTGTCAGTTCAGAACCTGTTTTTAAGTCATGTTCCATTGAATGACTCATAAATTAAAGACATTTGTAAAAAAACAGCAAAGAACTAAGATTTCTTTTTGATAATGTTTCATGCATTAAGTTGGAATAGTTTTTCTATAATATTTAAGTAAATGATTTAATCTGAGAAAGAAGCAAGAAACATAGGGAGGTCAAACATTTAATACTTACTGTACAGAATAGTTCCATTTAAAGTATTTGTTTTTATAGTCAAGTAGATGGTCACAATTCTGCTGTGTTCTTTCTCTGGGATAAACTTTGACTCATCCAAGGTTGTAAAAAAAGGCAGTTCTAAATAGGAATTCCCATTGAAATATGGAAAAAATAATCTTGCATCTGAAAATAAGGAGAGCACAATAACCAAATACTGTTAATACTATTATTTATTTTCAAGTCATCTTAAACCAAGATAATAGATATTTTGATAATATTCTATTGCTACTTATTTACATAAGAACCTAAAAATTATAGTCAGCATTCATTCAAAAAGGTAGCACTGATATATTTATTTATTTATTTTTAAAGGAGTGTTCTTTTTTTAAAAATACATTTATTCACTCATTTAATTTTTTATGTGGTGCTGAGGATGGAACCCAGGGTCTCGTGCATGCAAGATGAGCGCTCTACCACTGAGCCACAACCTCAGCACTGATATATTTAAATATTAAGTACAACTTTAAGAAATTTAGCTATAGGTATATTATAGTTCTGTAGTTATTATCTCAAATAATTAACTACCAGTCAAGAGGAAGATTTAGTGTAAGAATTTGATATTTCTGAGTGAGTTTTAAAATCAACAAAAACTCCAAAGTTACATAAAATATGTATATATTTGCATTTGTGAAATCATAGTTCTCATCTGATTCTTAAAATATTCTGTGACACAAATGGTATACATGTTTGCCAAAACATTAAGTTATACAATTAAATTCAATGATCTTATTTRATACAGACATACCTCAGAAAAAAGGAACAAATCTGTGAAACACAAATATTATAAAACTGCCATATCATTAATATTTAGTGTTAATATCCATTAATATTTAGTTCTTCGCAATAATTCTTAGATGTTTTATAACTGGTATTCCWATAATGTGGAATATTTGCTTTAGAATTATTCTTCTAGAATTATTAATATTTTAAGTAAATAATCTCACAAAATATTGAAGCACATAAAATTTGAAAAACACTTATTTTATTGTTACACATCTACAATTATATCTAAATATAATTGGTACATTGAACAAATATACRTGGAAATTTTGGAAATGCAATATTTTATTTTTAGTTTTTTTTTCAAAATGGGGGAACATTTTTCTGCCACTGGATGAAAACTTGGCACTCCCTCCAAGTCCTACCTTCTCTCTAAGTCATACAGCGAATCAGAAACTAACCCAGAATAAGAAATGTATTATCACTTAAATTTTCCTTTAGAGATAGGACTTTTGCTATCCTCCTCCACCAGCCAAGGCATGTAGGTGACCTGACATCAGCTGTCTGCCTTGAGGACAGGAGAAAACTGGTTTCTGTTGTTCTTTTATCCTTACCCCTCACCTTCAGGCTAGCTGACTTTGCTAACCCTTCCAGTTCAGCATGTTGAGACAGAGAGGTAAAGTGAAGAGAGGTGAAGTACACAGTAAAGGACAGCTGTTACTGCTAGCAGTTGATACCCTTGTAAATAGGGTCTTTGCTCTCTAGGAATGGCAGGTGTTTCAAACTAATTGCTTACTTAATGGAGGTGGCACCAGATAACATACAGGATGCTCAATTAAATTTGAATTTCAGATAAACAGTAAATAATTTTTTTTTGTAATATATTTGTTCCAAACATTGCATGGAATATACTTAAACTTTTTTTTTTTTTTTTTGTAAATTTAAATGTAACCAGTTGCCTTATCTTTTCAGTTGTATTGAATCGGACAGGCTTATGATTCAAGAGCATATGTGTATAATCTTCAGAAGCTGTGCAGTTAGCAAGTACAGCTCCTAGGACCTATAGTTGTAGGATTCTGCTTTTGGTTGGACATTTCTACCTTGGTCTTGCTCTGTTTTTTTTTTTAAGGTTATGTACATAATTGCTGTTGACAATTCTTTGCCTGTGTTAGTGAAAAAGTTGCGCTCACACCTTGTTATGGTTGGGATGTGAGGTGTCCCCCAAAAGCTTACAAGTGAGACAATGTGGGGAGGTTCAGAGGAGAAATGATAGGATTGTGAGAATCAACCCAGTCAGTAAATTAATCCTCTGATTGGGATTAACTGAGTGGTGATTGAAGAGGTAGGGTGTGGCTGGAGGAGGTGGGTCTTTGGAGGCGTGGCTTTGGTGTATTTATTTGTATCCAGTGAGTGGAGTCTCTTCCTCTGCTTTCCAGATCACCCTGATGTGAGCCACTTCCCTCTGCCACACTCTCTCCCCATGGTGTTTAGTCTCACCTCCAGCCCTGAGGAATGGAGCTGGCCTTCTGTGGACTAAGACCTCTGAAACCATGAGCCTTCAAATAAACTTTTCCTACTTTAAAATTGTTCTGGTCTGATCCATTAGTCACAGCAGCAGAAAAGCTGACTAAACCACACCTTAAATAGGCAAGGATGACTGTTTTTTTCCAAGGCAGTTTCAAAAGGAGAGATAGAGGTCTGAGATGAATTTGAAATAAAGGGTGAAAGAATTTTTAATGGCTGGAGCAAGAGGGGGAATACAGGCCATGTGTGTTTGCTAGTGGACTTTGTAGTACAACTTGGAGCATGGGGTCCCTGGAATTTAGGCTCAGGACTACCCCAAAGTTGAAATTTACCGATGCTTTCTTTTTAAAGCTTACCTTTCAAAGTGATGCCCCCCAGGTCCTCAGAAAGATATTTCTGGTTTGGAAAACTGGCTAGAGGTTTTTGATTTGCATATCAAAGGGGGCACAGAGAAAGCATTTACAATTGAAAGTTTCCTAAAGTACAACCTCTAAGAAGGGGAAGGTTGGTCAGGAATCTGGAGACAGGAAGAAACCTGTTTAAACTTGGTCAAACCTAGAGGAGGGTTTAAAGCCATCTTGGCCCATTATTAGAAGAATCATTTGGGCAGAATATAAAATGTCTCTACTTCAACTGCATTTCCTGAGGGGTATTCCAGCCTGTGATAAAAATTTCTACATTGCCTGCCATTCCCTGCCCTCCCTGTATGTACATCAATATTTATTTATCTATTTATCTTGTTTTATTAATTTTTGTTTATTTATATATGACAGTGGAATGCATTACAATTCTTATCACACATATAGAGCACAATGTTTTATATCCCTGGTTGTATACAAAGTATATCCACGCCAACTCTAGATAAGACAGAGGGGTAGGAGGGGAAGGGAGGGGGTGAGGGGAGTATTGGGTTAAAAATGATGGTGGAATGTGATGGACATTATTATTCGAAGCACATGAATAAAGACACGAATTGTACAGCCATATTTAATTCTCAAACATTCTCTAATTCTTATTTTCTCTCCCTCTCTCCCTTTCTCTCTCTCTCTCTCTCTCTCTCTCTCTCTCTCTCTCTCTCTCTCTCTCAGACACACACACACACACACACACACACACACAGTTTTAACTTATCAGGTATAAACTATTCCCTATCAGTACAGGATCTAATTTTCCAAGTGGTACAGTTGTACCTACCCCAGACACACTGTCACATGTGGTCTGTGGAAGAGGGTCAGGAGAGATGTTCAAAAGTTTGCTTTCTACAAAATTGTTTTCCACAAAATCATGTCTCTAAATGTCCTCTCTCCTTTCTGAATACTGACCCTTTTGATAGCAATAATATATCCCAGTTAAATTTTGTTTTTAAATATGATATTTTATTTGCAGCATAATTTTCTGATGTGTGAAATAAAGTTTACTTTTTAGCACTCTGTTTATGTCTACAAGTTGTGAAGTCAATTTTGAGAGTCAGATACAAATAATTTAATCCATCTATTTAAACAAATTCTTAAGTTATATAGTAACACGCATTTTACTATTTCTTAGCCTTCTACACACAATTTTAAACTCCTGGAAATTTTCCTACCTACATTTTCCTTTACATTTCTTAAAATGTTCTGCATTTTATTGTATGATTTTCCCCCAAAGATTATTAAAGCCTCRTTAGCAAATCTTTAATTAGTGCTCATATGCTTAGGAGTTTCTATAATACTAAACATTTCCTTTTATTAAAACACTCTCTTTCTCACCTTTCATGACACTTGGCTTTCTTCTTGCCTGCCCAATAACTCTTTTGCAAACCAGTTTTTCAGCCTTGCCATAATGCACATATTTTCCAAGGCAGTGTCCTGGGTCAGCTAATCTCTGTCTTTTCTAAAAACTGATCCTCCTCCAGTTTCTTATTCACAGTGCTTACTAGTCCAAGTTTGGAAACTCAGCATCATTATCCACCCATCTAGTTGCTGGTTCCTGACATCTCTTCCTTAGATCAAATCTTGCAACTTTCCTTCTGCTACCACTATTCTTGTTTGGGTTATCATTACATTTCAACTCAAGAAGTATACCAGCTTCTTCCCACCCAGTCTCTCTTCCCATTGTTTCTATGAGCTGTCATTGCAGTCACATCAATTTTATCTAGTTGTAATCATCTAAGACCTTTGGTCAAAACCTTCAGTGGTGCAAGATAAATTATCAAGTAATCCAAGTCTTCCATGGTTTTATTTTCAGTGCTTCCACACATTATACATCTACTGGTGTGGTTGAACCACACTTTCTTCTCTTGTTCTGCTTGTGTTCATTCACACTGTTCTGTCTGAAATGTCCTTTAAGTCCTAGGTATAGATATTCTCTCTTAATTGAAGACTTGAATAAATCCCCAGATTGGAACTTCCTTTAGCATGGTATCCACAACTCTTCTAGTCTATTTGTTGTTTTCTGTCTTATGTTACAATCATTGGTTTAAAATTTGAATCAAATCGACCATATAGTGAGCTAGTTATTTTGGGTGAGGGAGGTAAATTGACTTAAATGAGTACAAATGAAATGAGTTCTAAATAAATGAGTTCTAAGAAGACATTTGAGAAATACGAGGTAAGGAGGCGAGTTTGCTCTTGTCTGTCCAGAAAAGTCCATGGCACAGTTGAAATTTCACCAGATGGAGCAGAATGTTTGGCAGAAGCTGGACTGCACATGCACCACTTTTTAATGTAATTATAAGTAGAAAAACCATATGCCAATCAAGTTAAAAATGCAATATGGCTAGTTCTACTCTGAAGGAAATTTGGATGAAAAATTTGGATAGCATTATGGCAGAGGAAAATATTTAAGATTACAAAGAGGTGAACTTGAGTTTTCAATAAATATGGTCCTTAACATATAAC